TTTGAGTGAAAGTTTACAGAGCAAATTCGGCTTCCATACAGCAGTTCATTTATACTTTGTCTCATGACATTGACTATAATCTCCCACAATGCAACAGTTCTCTTCCCACTTCCTCCCCATGGGTAGATACCTCTTCCCTGTGGCCTTACGTCCCATGCACTCCTGCCTCCCCTAAGGTGTCTGTCTGTGCATGCATAGCCCTTCTATTCTCTCATGATTTGATCTCTCCAAAGAGTGTATCTAGCTAATGTAAATGTTTAGTTCATTTGCCTATCTTTTGTTCAGCTGGAAGCCACAGGTATGGATTCAATTCTAGACCTGAAGTGCAAGTAGGGGCCATAGTTTCAGTGGTTCCCCCAAGCTCTATCTGACCAGCAAACCTGGTCCCCCTCCCTTTTTTTTTTTTTTTTTAATGATTTTGAGTTTTGTTACACATTGTTCTTCCTCTCTATCCAGGATCTTCTACATAGATCCCCCTCCAAGTGGTTGACAGTGGTAGCCGGACACCATCTAGTTCTTTTTGGTCTCATAGTCATATAGGCTGTGGATCACATGGTGTACCAGTCCCTTGGACTCTTGTTTCCATGTGTCTTTGGTTTTCGTCATCCTTCTTTGCTCTGGACAAGGAGAGACCCATGTTGCATCTAGATGGCTGCTTGTAAGCCTTTAAGATCCCAGTCACTACTTGCCAAAGTATATGTGTAGATAAGTCTTATCTGTGCCCTACTTGTAAGGATCAAGTGAGATAACATTTGTGAAGAATGTTTTTGTAAACTGTAAGTGGCTTTGTGAATAAAGATTTCAGTTGACCCTTGAACAACATAGAGGTTAGTCTGTGCAGTGAAAATCCATGTATAACTTTTGACTCTCTGAAAATTTAGCTAATAATAGCCTACTGTTGACTACCCTTAACTGATAACATAAGTTGTCAATTAACACAGTTCTTATTAGATTTTCACATGAACACACACACACACAACACAGATAAGTTTATTAAATGTATGGCATGATTATTTACTATTCATTAGGTGGAAGTGGCTCTTTATAAAGCTCTTCATCCTCATGGTCTTCATGTTGAGTAGGCTGAGGAGAAGGAGGAAGAAGAGGAGTTGGTTATGCTGTTTCAAGGGGTGGCAGAGGCGGAAGAGGTAGAAAAGGTGGACGGGGAAGCAGGAGAGGCAGGCATACTTGATGTAACTTTGAAAAAACTCTATGTGTAAACGGACCTGCATAGTTGAAACTTGTACTGTCCAAGGGTCAACTCTGCTATCTCTGATAAATCCTCCCAGTTTCTGGCCACTAGTAACCAGATTCTCTTATCCTATGCTTGAAGAAGCACAAATCTATGAAGAAGGATTGCTAATTTTTCCATCTGTGTTATGTTCACAGCACTCACATACCTTTTCTCCGCCCTTTGGTCTTTCTTTCCTCTCCACTCCCTCCCTCCTCCCCTTCTTCCTCTTCCCCATTTTAATGGGAAGACCTGTTCTGGCACTAAGCAACGACATTCTCAGTAAAAAATATAACTGACTGTGCTTGTATTAAGATTTTCAACAAATGTTGCAAAGCTGCTGATCAGAAATGTTCTTTCCTTTCCACTTCTCTTAAAGTTCTCTAGCACCTTAAGAATCCTTGACACTTGGCTTGGAGCATGTGGTAGATTCTAGATTCTCTGACCCAAGTCCTTCTCACAGGCTGGCAATCACAAAAGGAAGTCAACGTCTCCCAGAATGGTAGCTGAACAGGAAAATGGAAACGTGGATGTTGAATTCAGCAGCCCTCAAGCCCAGAATTTGCTCTTCTTTACTGTCTCTGAGGTGGAGAGTAAGAGCTATGCAGCTTCACATTAAGAACCATTGACGTGTACTTAGAATTACCTGTTTGTAGCTGTGCCAAGTGAAGACTTCAGACACAGGGAGGATGTTATTTAGCAGATTTTAATGTAGTTTAAAACTAATCTTCCTTTCACTGAGAAAGGAAGTGTCTTTGGTTTTACTTTCAAATACATGGTACCTCATTAGGAGCCAGACTCATGTCCTTTATGGTACCTTTCCTTTTAGTAGCTTAATAAATAATATAAATGGTAAATAAAAATACAGATGCATGAAGATGGTGAATAGCGGAGAACCACTAAAAGTGATCAAATCACCCTACCCATTTATTAATCCAACACTCCGCAGGTCACTTCATTAGGAGCTGCTGGCATATAGCTACTCCAGGAAATCTGGAGAAAAGGCATGGGGGGAATGGTGTCTGTCATGCCACTGCTTGGTTTATCTGGGCTGCCTATGTGTGTGATAGCTTCTGGGAAAACAAATGGTAATGTAAACCTGATTGTTCTTGTTCTCATTAAGGTTTTTCTGTGATCACACTTGTTGAAATAATTCAGCAGTGATGTTAAAACCATTTCATATTCTTTAGCCATAGTCACTGGCAATCTTAAGTTTAGCCATGTGCAGATTGTAAAGAAAGGGCCATCAGAGTTGAAGAGGATTCTGCGAAGAATAAAAAATAATTGCCTTTGTAACATATTTGGTGAAGATAATCCTCTCAAAGTTGTTATGCTGATCAGAGGGACTACAGGCAGGGAAATTCCCTACCATCAATGTAAGGTCTTGTGCTCCTGGAACAGTACATTTGTTGTCTGAGAAGTCTAAAGTGCTCCTTGCCTTAGAAATTCCAGAATCTAATGATGCCTCCGTGTGGTGAAATCAAAATGTACAGCTTTCTACAATTCACAGTAGTGCCTTGTTCTGGTGGCACTGTTGACTGTTCATATAGCAGCCCACGTGTTTTATGGATTATACACAGAGGTACTCTGTGACAGCAATACTTCCCCTCCAGGGCCACTGTGTGCTAAGCACTCTGGTCCTCCAGGCATGGTTGGATCCATTTAGCCTCATTCAGTCAACAAGTGCTTATTGAGCTCCTTCTCCATAGCAGGTACTGCACCTGGTGCTGGTAATTGAGCAAGATTTAGCCTGGAAGTTCTGACTTGTGACCATTCCATGTGAAAGCTTTGTGCTTTAGTAGATCAAAATGGGTTAAGAAATACTACTACCTGACAAGCAAGTGAGGTGAAATGAGTGGGAATTTGATCCTGTCTGGTCTTAGCTGCTGCTACTAGTCCTTTTCTAGCACTTATGGCTCAAAATAGTCAATATTTATTGAGCCCTCATTATAGTCCATGCTAAACGCTTTACATATATTAATTTATTGAATCTTCAGAACTACCCTATGAATCAGGCACTGTTATCCCTACTTTACAAATGAGGAAGGTGGAGCACTGAGAAAAACTACAGATCTTGCTGAAGGTCATAAAGTAGAGACAGGATTCATATTTAAGGAATCTGGCCCAGAGTCCATTCTCTTAAATGATGTACTGTCTCAGGGTAGAAGGAACCATCTTGCGCAACCGCCTGCATGGGTAGAGCTTAGCCGAGTGGCACTCCCCTGACCCTCCCTACCTGCAGAGCTTCTGTCCTTCCTGGGGTGACTTCTAAGGCCAGATTCCTATCCCTAACACTGAACAGGAGGTCCCTTCTCTACAACTCCAGATGTGAATCCATCCTGGCCTTTACCAGCTGCGTAATCTTGCTTCTTTGAGCTTGTTTCCTCACATGTAAAATGGAAATAATGTTCTTTCATGGGATCATTTAGGGGAGGATTAAATAAGATAGTATGCTTATCAGTTTCTGACTCTGAGTAAGTGGTTAATAAGTGTTAGCAGTTTTTTATTATTACTTCTCGCTGGCCTCAAGAACAAGCCAGAAAGCAGGTTATGAGAGCCCAGATTCGAGGACCTATGTAACGGGCAATTTTCCTTTGGTTTTAATAAGATAATAATTTTATTCTGTGTATTCTCTTAACTCTTTTGGTATGAAAAGCAGAGTGGTAAAGCATTATTTGACAGATGTATGGACTCAAGCAAGAAATTGAGGTCCAGTTGCAAATAAATGCCTTATATAATTCAGAGCCGTGTCTTAGGAGACACAGAGGACCTTAGAGAGCGGGAAATGAACACAGCACAGGGGCTAGTCCAGAGTCATTTCCTTGGTTAGTTCTCTTACAAGTGTGGGTAAGGATCCCTTGTTCAGTAGGCAGAAATTTTTCTCCTCTGCTCCAACAGGTATCTGCTGGCTAGTGTTATTAAACAAAACATATTTATATATTTACTTATTAGTGTGAAATAAAATTTATAACTTGTCCAAAGTGAAGAGGTAAGGGAGCATCGGGTATGTTGAGCCCCTTCCCCTACCTGTTCTGTGCCAGACCTTCCATAAGGGTTTATTTGCTACTGGTTGCGTCTCAGGACTCAGGGCCAGCTCACTCTGCAGGCTCCAAGCCAGAGTGGTGCTGCTGCTACTGCCGCTGCCACCAGCACTGCTACCACCACCCACCAGCCATTTACAGTTTCCTGTTAAGAGGATGTGACCTGCCGTGAAGTTTTCACCTTTCTCCTGTCTTCAGCATTGTACCTCTTTTCCTCGGGTGGTTGTGCATACACCTAATATCTAAAAGAGAATTTTCAGGCACCAAAGTTATAACCCTTACTACCTACCTCTCCAAGGAGATGTGAGTTAGCCATGGAAAAGAAGATAAATGAGAAGGCTCCTGTTCTTCTGTGCTGCAGAAGAAAGACTTTGCTTCTCGGTAGTATGCTAGCACCCAGGCCAGATGGGGGACTTCCTGGGACTCAAGAGAATGCACCACAGAAGTAGACTGGACCTAGCCTGCCCAAGGACAGCTCCCCAGCCCACAGGAGCCATGGCTGAAGACAAGTTCCGCCTTCTCCCATTGTCCTTCCCTAAGTTTGAGCGTGCTCTGCCACACTGCCCCAAGTGTGTGACTTTAAATAGCCATTTCCCTTTGTCAGTGAAGAAGTTCCCTCTTCATTATAAAATGTTTCAACTTGGGGACTGGAAAGGCTCTCAGTGCCTTCCTGTCTCTCTCGGTCTCCCAGGGGTTGATGTTGATGGTTTCTGTCTTTGTCCTTACAGGGGACTCTAATGATCCATGACAAAGAGGTCACTCTTGAATACGTACCAAGCCCGGATTTTTGGTACTGCAAGCGGGTAAGTGCCAATAATTTCTTTCCTTAGAAGTAAGGGTCTAGCATAACTGCCCTTCCATGTTTCCAGCAATGCTGCCTGGTAGTGTGCATTGTCAAGGATAAAACTCTTCTTCCTCAGTTCACTTCAGATGAACTGGAGGTCAGGACAAGATCATAAACTCCTGCTTCCCAGCTGCTGCCTGTGGCCATAGAGGGTTTGAGGCTACTGTGAAGACCCTTTACAGGGATATGTGCTTTCTGTTGAGTATGAACTGAAATACTAGTCCCTTGACTTAAAACCTCTTCCCAGATGCCTTTCCTGGGGGTACTCGCAGGAGATTTGGTGTTTGGAAAGGTGGATTTGGGCAGGCTGGTTCTGTGACAGGTGTACACTTGGATATTCAGGAATCCCCAAGAATATAGCCAACTGACCAGAAGAGATCCATATTTATACCCACTCCAAAGAAAGGTGAGCCCACAGAATGGGAGAATTATCAAACAATGCTATTAATATCACATGCAAGTAAAATCTTACTGAAGATAATTCAAAAACAGTTGCAGCAGTATTTTGACAGAGAACTTCCAGAAATGCAAGCTGGATTCAGAAGAGGACATGGAATGAGGGATATCATTGCTGATGTAAGATGGATCTTGATTCAAAGCAAAGAATACCAGAAAGATGTACAGAAAGATGTTACAATGACTATGCAAAAGCATTTGATTGTGTGGATCATAACAAATTATGGGTAACATTGAGAAGAATGGGAATTCCAGAACACTTAATCATACTCAGGAGGAACCTGTACATAGACCAATGGGCTATCATTCAAACAGAATGAGGAGGCACTGCATGGTTTAAAATCAAGAAGGGAGTGCATCAGGGTTGTATCCTTTCACCATACTTATTCAATCTGTATGTTGAGCAAATAATCCAAGAAGGTGGATTATGTGAAGAGGAATGGGGCATCAGGATTGGAGGAAGAATCATTAACAACCTGCAATACGGTGACAGTGCAACTTTGCTTGCTGAAAGTGAGGATGACTTGCAGCACTTACTGATGAAGATTGAAGACTACAGTTTGCGGGGAGTTGCGGTAAGATGGCGGACTAGGCAGAAAGACTGCACAGACCGTCTTCAACAAAGAAAAGGGAAACCGATTAACACAGACACAGTAGATAATCTTGGACCCCTGAGCCTTGAAGGGAAGGATATAGAAGTGGACTAAACCCCAACTAGCAGAAGAATTTGCGGAAAATAACAAACAAAGGAGACATAAGGAGCTGCGGTCTGGCAGCGATCCTGACGGCACAGACAGCTTGAAGTTTCCCGAGTGGTGATGCGACCTAAGAATTAACCTAAAAATCACCCTGATAGCCAGGAACTGCATGGAGGACTGTGCACAGTGGCTGGGGAACAAACGGAGAAGGTGAAGAGAAAGGTGGGCTGAGCTGTGGACTTTTGTCGGTCCAGAGGGCGCTGCCATTTTGAAGGTTTAAAAATCAGCTAGACTGCTTTGGATATTTAAAGAGACAGTGCTCTCGCAGATTCCTGGGGCTTAAGAACACATTCTGCTTTCCAGCAACCCCAAGGATACTCCAAGGCCAACAATAAAAAACCACCAAGAAGAGCCTGAATCACCCTTGGCTGCTTTTCACAAACAGTTAACAGAGATCTAAATACAACAACGCCACGATGCCTCGGAAACAACAGACCATCACAGTCCACACA